AAAACTGACAACACCAATATAATAATATTGTCCCAGTTAGTAGTTTTCAACCACTACTGATTGTTTAATGAATTTTATTGATTTGTTTAAATGAGGTCAAATTGATGACTATTGTTCAAAGTATTGACAGAAACGTGTATCTTAATTTATGAGAAAAACAGCCGATTGTATTATAGAACTTCTGAAATATCGAACGTTTTTATGATATTTGATTCTTTATGAAAAACAACTTTTTATTGAGGCGAACGCGGAATAAGACATCTTCGGATATTTGCTGCAGGGGATGTGCTGCATTACATTACTCTGGTGACGATTATACATGTGGCGACAGTACAGTACGATGTTTCACACGTTTTTTTTTTGAATTTATTGAATTTGAAGTATTTTCACAACAAAAGATATTCTACGTTAACAGTCTGTCAGTTGATGTCATGAAGCAACTGTGTTCGTGCCATCTGTGCGGTTGTTCACGGCACTATGCACTATTGGAATTTTATGCCACGTATGTTAGTTTACTCACATTGACAAATACGTATTTACTCTATATAAAACAGCTGTCTGATGAGGATAATTTTATGGCAATCATTTGAATGATTCAAAGTGTATATTTTCTCGATTAACGACGTTATATAAATGTGAATACACATACATTTTTTGAAAAAAAAAACTTTGTTAATGGAACATTGGTCAGGCCAATTGTTTAGGCGACCAATTTGACGTGAATATTTAGGCAAATCAACATGGTACTAAGACATACATAATACTAATGCACTCTCATGGTCAGAACTGGTCAACTAATACAGCAATCGGCACCCTGCTAAGTTAACGGGCAGAATAATCGAAATACTTATTTACTATTCATTGGAAAATATGTGAAATCCTCGTACCGTAAACGAATTCTTCAATTTATTCATTTCAAGGTATTCAGGATAGTTCCTTCACACGTCACTCACTAGAACCGTTTACTACCACTAATTCTAATTATATTGTAACGACTCACTTCGTCTGTTATGATATTAAAAAAAAAACACCAATGCAAATGAATGGAACATTATAACCTATCGCATTTCACTGTTACATTTGCTGTGGTTGTTTGAAACTCGGTCACATTTCATTGAATAAAAATAGACATCATGTATATTGCTCGCCAAGTGGATAGTATGAGGCGGATGACCCGACCGCTGTTACTTCCATGGATTTGAAGCAACTTTACCTATCCAAACTAATCAGTGAATGTGCAAGAATGGTTTTTAAGTATGATTCGTCGTTTTATATTTAGGGTGTTCTAAACGAAGCCGGGGTACTACACCTGAAATTTAGTGGGAGTGCTTCGCAGCTGGTTTGGCCCAACAATTGGCGCATAACTGGAGTCCGTATACTCAACTATGGGAGTACCCCCCATGAAACAAACATGCACGACGACGCCGTCATCAAAACATCGCAACCGCAATTCTTGTGGAGTGTTTCACGCTGCGACCGTTCTACGCGTGCCACGTTGATGTTCACTGAGAATGCTAAAAGAAAGGACGGTAGGCAAAAGTGATTGGGTCAGCCACAGACCCTTTGTAGAGATATCGAGAAACTGTATATGAGTCAGTTTTAATACTAGAGATGAAATTCTTGGCTAAAAAAGTAAAAAGCAGTACCACACACAGTGCTGCTGTGACATGATTTGATTTGAACTCAGTTTTTTTGTGCGTAAAAGGCACGGCCTTTTTAGGAAACGTTCGTTCGGGACACTTTTAACCCGCTCTTCTTAGTAAATATAAGGGGTATGGCACGTCTCCGGAGGTGTTCGGCAATAGGTGTTGTGACCATCAATTTTTCGTTCAATTTGCGTGCGATTTTTTATTCGTACCTTGCCCTTGCCTTGCACATGGCCGTGTATTTATTTTCAGCCAAAATATTATTCGTTCCCTGTTTTATTTTAAAAATCGCAAAACATTTATTCCATTATGGTACAAACCGATTAAAATACTGCTTTATTCTATGATTCAAAAATTTTTTTCGCAAATAGCGAAAATAACGATGTTCTACTGAACGATGATGAAGTCAACTAAATTCTGCATACAACTACGGGATAGGCGGTCTGAACGAAAATGCAATGCGCTGTGTCACCCACACCCGTCTCCCTTTCTTTGCGGCTAGAACACCGAAATAAACTCTGTCACCGTAGTGTCCAATCTCCCACACAGAGTTTTTTTTCTACGAAAACAACTCGGCAGAACGATCGCGATCAGCTTGAAGAACGAAAGAACACCTTTAAAGTAACTGCGTAATTCCACGATGAAATTATGTTCTTTGTGAATTATAATTATATAATTATTTCACCCATTTATTTGCGTTTATAAAAAAAATCATTGTCAGCTATCGATAACACATTTTAAAACTTGATCACCAGAAGGAACACGTCCAGAAAACGCGCAGTAAAGGTCTTGTGGCGTTTCACCACAAAATGGCGGTATGTGGTGGCGAACAATCGAATCTGCTCAAGCCATACACTGTAATATTTATCTTTATTTCAGAGTGTCAAGCATTTGAAAGACCATATGAAACTAGTATGAAAAATAAATAAATAAATAAATGAACAAAATATATGTATATAGGTCATAAGGTATTGAAATATTCACCAGAAAACATGACGAACCGAGATGTTTGGAAATCCCTTTGAGTAAAATCAGTGTTAAATCTATCTTTCTTAATTATGTACGTAAACAGAACGCTGTTTTCTTCCAGTTTTAGTGTATCAAGTGCGACACCGCCCAGCAGTAACAATAACTCGGTAGTTTATAAAATCTCTATTTGGCCGAATGTTAAAGTACTTGTATATACAATTTTAGACATGATCATGAATACGACGGTAAGTCAACTTTGATATTGACTTCTTAACATGTTTGTAATTGTATGAACATATATTAAAAACTGAAATTGTGTCCGCATTTTAATTCCGAACAAAGCGATATAAAATGTTCATTGGATTAAACACGCAAATTGCGAACAATACTGGTTAGATAATGAACAGATTAAGGCAATATAATAGTAAATAATGGATACTCCAACCGTTGTACTATGTCTTTATTCATTGCCAGATGTGACTTAAAATAATTGTATTCACTCGAAGGTCGACGCGTGGAGAATGAATGAATGAATGTCTTTTGAAAATTCAAAAAATAG